TATTTAGAAGCATGCAGTTCAGGTAAATCGGTTTATTATTTAATTGGGAAAACTCTCCTTCCTTAAAATTTGTTCATATTTTGGGGGGAAAGTTTGAGTCTACTGTAAAGAATTGAAAAGCAGCACATTATCTTTTTTTTTTTTCCTGCAGTTCATCACTGTTATCGTCTTCACTTTCCAACATGTCCATGCTTATGATAAAAGGCTCTTAGATTACACACCCACACACAGAAGGACAGGAACTCGAGGAGAAAACAGCAGATTTATTCAGCCGCCATGAGAAACTTATTACATAAGAAGAAGAGAGTCAGTCTGTAGGTCTGTTCCTGCCATGGAGGATCAGGTTACATAACAAAACCCAAACTGCAAACACAAACATTTATCATCAGTCACGCATGAATCCCCCACTCATAACAAAAAATAAATGCTTTCACTGCACATGGAGGCAAAGACATTTCAAGCAATTAGGGGGAAATTGTTTTTCTCATCGATGATAAACTAAACCAACAGTTGAAAATTGTAAACAGCAATTGCATCACATCCCAACAAATTTATCTTAAAGCTTAAGATAAAAAAAAAAACCTTTGTTATAATGGGTTCCACATTGTTTATTAAGCTTTGCTGAGTTTATAAAGAAACATTAAATCCAGATGGAAATCTCATGTTCTACACCAGATTGGGTTGTAAACTTTAAACCATGACTCTTTCAGATCTCAGACTTTCAGCTGCACATCTCAAAGAGGATTAAGACATGTTTCAGTTTGTTCCTCAAATCTCAGACTGTCACTGGAACGACTTTCGACATATATTGAGTACAAGCAGTTTTATTCAAATTTGTTCTGGAATCTTAGATCCACATAAAGCTTTTTGATCAGTATTTTATAGATTATACATGAATACAGCAATGGTTTGTGACATATATTCAGAAAATAATACAGGAACTGAAAAAGAACTACCTTACAAAACAACAAAAATACAGGGATAGTTGATGTTGCCACAAAAGAGATAGACATCGGATTTTTGCTCCTACATAAAGGTGAGTTTGAAGGAAAAGTGTTTTCCAGTGTTGTTGGACTCTAAGCGTAGATGGGAATCAAGCAGGATGAGGAAGAGGAAGGGAGAAACTGTGGTTGAGATAAACAAAAGGAACTATACTTCGTCAGCCAGAGAACAGGTTAGACTTTCCACAAAAAAGATGAGAAGAAACGGAGAAGGTGACAAAAGGTCAACATAAATGTGAGAACTTTTTGTCCATTAGATCTCCACGCCTGGAGAAAGGAAAGTCTACAAACATGTAGCGTCCAAATGGGCCCAGAGTTGTTCATAAAGCTCTGTTACACAGAAGCAAGTAGCTCAACTATTGTTTTGCATAATTTTGAGCATCCAAGCCATGAACTTTGAATATTTCAGTAAAAAAATCTATTAGAAACTTCCAAGTCAGTCAAAACACATAGTTTTGAGTAAAAAAATCTTAATTAGAATTGTTGGGTAGTCAATAAAAAGCCTAAATTAGCCCTTAATGAACTAATACAATAAAAAGACTCTTGCGTATAAACAGTATTATGACCTGAAACTACAGCTCTGATTTTCCCTTAAACAGAAATTCCAGCATTTTTAATGATAACCACAGGGAGGAAATGGATGTTCTCTATGACTACAGCAGAAAGAGGGCAACACCATGACTCATCTGTTTCCATGCAGCCCTGGGATTTCCCAAAGTGTATGTCTAGTATTCATTATGTTAGATGCAAATGCATTTATTTTTGCTTTGGTTCTTATTTCAACTCAGAATTCAAAGAATTTCAACACTCATGAAAAATTTAAATAATACTCTCGGAGACACCAATTTTACTAGTAAGCAACCACTTATTATGCGACTTAATGGCTCCCATGTGTTTAAATCAAAATAAAAAATAATCTAAATCTAAAAGAATTCCAGCATATTGTCTAAAAACTGCAGAAAATTACAATATATAGCAGCTAACTGTGCTGCAGCACTCACATCAGCTTTAATGCAAGCCGGAATTAATCTGAACATCCCTGTTTTACATAATAGCAAAGAAAACATGTCCAATGATGTCTATTAGTTTGCTTAGTAGAAACATTGATATACAGTTTTTGGGTAATAGCCAAAGAACCAGACCCTAATGCATTTCATAACATTTGTTCAACTTTTTATTTTCTTTAGTCCAACTGTTTTTAATGTTCTTTTTTGTTTCTACATTTTTTGTTTTATTTTATATATTCTTTCCCCTACTTGTTTTGATTCTGTTTTATTTTCCTATATTTTAATCATGTAAAGCACTTTGCATTGTCTTTGTACTGAATTGTGCTATACAAATAAATTTGCCTTGCCTTATCTAATGAAGTGTGAGGAAGCATCGTCATCATTAATGCAATAGAACCTATTATACAAATATGATTTAAACATTTGATCCCTCCAACATTCAAATATTCAAGTGATACTAGGAGGAAAGGTTTCAAATTAAACAGGACATGTTTAGGTTTATCTTTGAATATAACTTTACTTCCAGCTCTGCTTCTGGGCTTTAAGAAAACCTGACAGAAACCCTTCAAACATATCATGTCATTGTAAATGGTCTCACAGCTGATCTGGGTTTTTTTATTTGGTTTAAACACACAGGTTGACAGTTTAGGTTAACATTGTTTTCATACATCCGGAAGCTCAACTGGGCAAAATAGTTTAAAATGAAATCAGGGTTTGCTTTAGCTGTAGCTAATTGATTATCTTTGTTCCCACTGGAGAAAAATGTATTATATTTGACTGAACATTGGAGTTGAAATTTAAGCCGATATGAGAACAGGGATGATAAGCATTAAACAGAAATTCAGTTTCAGAGAGGCAGAGCACATTTGTCATGTATTAAAATGCAATACCAGAAAAAAAAAGTCAGGTGTACCGCCCCTAACAACTAGCTGTGCTGCATCTCAGCATATTAATATGAAATTATCAAACACCCTCTGTAGATCGGCCCATATTTCTTTAGAAAAGTGAATACATTAAGCGAAAATTAAGCGAATATTGAAACCACAAAATGTTCATTAGCAGTTCCACTGAAGTGCTAATGCTATCTTTTGCTCAAATGGAGTAATATTTTACTGTTTAGCGGTATTATTCTTTTATTTCTGTAATCCTTTAGTAATGCACCTGTCATTTATTTAAGCATTTCTACTGTTTAAACGTTCTTTAATAGGTTCCTTCCTCTCTAAATATTATTTTTTTTATTTTCTATTACCAGTTACTATTCATATGTCCATAGTTCTGGAATGTTAAATTTGCACCAATGATTAATTATTCTAATTATTTACATTTTACCAAATTTTTCCTGTACTTGTAAAGCAATTCTTTACAGGGGAAGAAAAACCACCAATTTTCGATAGCAAACATATGCTGCGTTGCTATCATTAGCTTCAGTGTATTTTTCAATTTCAATATAATTTAATTGCAAAAAAATATTAGAACAGTTTTTTCTCACTATTTCTTTAAAGTGGAATTATCATTATAAAATGTTTACTTTGACATATCTGCTTGGCTTAATCAAAACAATGTTGGATAAGAAACAAAAAAATACCAAATATGTAATTTACAACACAAGTCTGCACTTTCATCCCTGTTAAATATCTGAATATTTAATAATTTGATAATGTAACAAATTTAGAGACATAAAAATCAGTGGACATATACATATTTTCTTGTTCTCAGTGTTTTTATGGTGTGTTACATAGCTCACTGATGATCAATTTGGAACGTAATGTACAGTAGGTACAAATTCAAAAGTATAAAATAAAGTATTTACATTAGAAATTGAATTATTCAAAAAATACTTGCTCCAAAGGGTCTATACAGTTATTTGGCACTGCACAAGATTTATTTCTTACAAAGTGCTGGAATTAAAATCAAATCAACCAAAAAACCAAAAAAGAAAGAAAAAAAAACTTAAATTTTTTTATAGACTTTCTTTAAAAAAAAATGATCTAATGTAAATATCAGAGCTCAGCGGTCATTAAAATATTACTCAGTTCCACAATATCTATACGTTTTTAAAAATCTTTTGCTCAAAAAACTGAAACACAGAACCTTTGACTTTATCCAAATATAGATTTAAATCTCAAAAATAAAATAAAAAAATTTAACAAGCAAAACAAGATAAGCAGGAAACCAAGGAAATGAGCTGGATAAATTCTGAAGATGTTACACAGTAAATCCCCCCAAAAAGATAATACAATTACAAATAACTTTCCTTTCAGGTCAAGCATTCACACTGTAAAGCAGACAAACTATAAATCCTCTACCAAATGCAGCATGAAATGTATTAAAACACTAGAAATATACTGGCTAAAAAAAACGCAAACCCCCCCCCCCCCAACACACATACACTCCAGTCCAGTGTAGCAGGAAGGATTCATGGGACTTTCCTGTCTTCTTAAAATAAGCCTCTGTCATCATTGAGCATCAGCAGCAGGGGATGGCCAAAGTGAAGCATTCTGGGAAATAAAATCCAACGATGCCATGAGACACCCAGTGAAGTTAAATAGTTAGGGAACAGAAGGAAAAACAAACAAACACAGAGGCGGGATGCTGAGTTAAGCAGAATAAAACATCAGAAAATGAAGATCCATCCGAGAAGCTTCCAAGAAGCAAAGCATTCTAATACATGCATTTAAATCCTCTTCTTATTGTACAAATCAGATTTTCATTTTACGGTAACTCAGTTTACAGTACTGCAGTAAAGTATACTCGAACAAGTGGTGCCAGCTCTTTGTCTAATTAATACTGATGGGAGATATTTTCAGGAATTAACATCTCTAAGTCTTTACAGGGAATTTTTACTTTTATAATCTAACAGTGAAGACAGCTATAGGAATCTGAGATCCTGGATTAAACAGGATCACTTCAGAAGACATCTGTATCGTTCTCGTTTGGCTTGCTAGTTTCAGATTGGACCAGAGTGAAAAAGAAATATATATATATATATAAATATTTTTTTTTAACATTTGTTTAGACAATCTGAAGTGAAGGTCACAAAGGGTGCAACATTTGTTGAGCGACACTTTAACAGTCGTCAGTGAGGTGAGTGAAGCCATCAGCGGGGTGTTGGAGGACAGGCTCAGAGGTTCAGAGTGCGGAGGAGGTCAGTCAGCTGGTCAGAGTCAATTTAATACAATCCTGGAACATATTAAGCAAAAGGGACACAATGGGTAAGAAATAATCTGAATCAGTATACAGGTAAGATAATATAATTCCTTACATTCATAGATTAAGATTACATTACTGCTCAAGGTGTCCAACAGCTGATGTACTATAAATGCATATATACTATAAACAGTCACCAGAGGAGGCTTTTAACATAATGGATTACATATGCCAATACTAAAGCAACATTTATATATCAAAACATTTTATCCAGTTTTTAATTCTCTTCTCAAATCAGTAACTCTTCAACAAAATCTGCTCCATAACTTTTAATAAAGGCTTTACTAAAAAGTAGCAACCCAGCTCTCGAAGTGTGGTAACACATAAACAGCCGATAATAGAAAATTAGGCTTTTGTAGTTTTGTGTTTTTCTTTCTACATCAGTGGTACATGTTTGTTTTTGTTGTTTTTTTTATCATGAGGACTTTTATTTCAAAATGTGCTGCAAACACATAAATGATACTAGCACTCACACAAAACATATACATATACATAAGCAACTCTAATTGAGACTGTTATGTGTTTAAGTAAAGACAAAAACGTGATGCTCCGAGAAATTAAGTGAGTACAGTTAATATAAAGTAAACACAGATTTTCTTTCTTTCCTCCAAATAAGATCTGGTTGGGCATCCCGTTTATGTCTTGGGTTAGGTTCTGGTCTAGTGACATTCATTTGTTGCATTCTTTACAGTTTGTCTTGCAGTACTGTATGTATTTGCAGGGCATTTGCACCTCATAGCTTCCATATATCAAAGCATTCTTTTTTTAAATTTTATTTATAAAGTTTTCAAACTTTAACAACAACACAGATCAAAAATACATGTTTAGCAACATAGATTTTTTCATGGCCAGAGTGTTAGACAGGGTCTTGAACCACACGTTGAAAAACATTGCTTTCCATGAGATAGCAATGCAGTATGTAGCTTGTAATTAGCACATATACACCATCTTTTCCTCAGCATTCGTCAATCTTAATTCTGTTGGGACAAGTCTGACAATGAACAACTTAGAACGGACGGGTAATCTTATACAGCTGTAGTCAGAGACTCGTTCTATTACCTTTTCCCATTATTCCCTAATTTTAGGGCAGGTCTACAGGCAGTGATATACTGTGCCCTCCTCTAGACCACACTTAATGCAGAGGTCAGGGTTATTGTTGTTGAAGCAGTGCAAAAGGGACGGGGTCAAATATGGGGTAAAAAATGTTTTCCACAATTAAGCTATAAGTAACAGAAACCTGACAACTTCTGTGCATATGATTTAGTACAGCCTCTTCAAGACTGGACAGTGCTGGTTTGTTTTTCTGTTGTTTGTATTTTTTCCGAATATAACTCCTGAGCACCATGTAATTCCTCAAAGCTACACAACACATATACCTAACAGCTTTTAAGACATGCATTTATGTTGCTTTTAAAACAGTTCGCTGCTGGTGGTTTAAAGCTTTCAAATGTCTGTTTCTGCTTCTCTTTGTGTTTTTCTTTAACTTCTGTCCTTTTAGAAAGCAGTGATGCAAAATAAAATAGATTGTGTGATATTTTCAGAGTACTTAGAATACGTGACAATTTCAAAGCAATGGTTCATGGACGTTATACAAATCTAACTTCCTATAATGGCTTGCAGTGGTGCAGATGTAATACTACCGGTAGGTTGTGTTGAAAAAGGAACAACAATTGGTTCTATAGCAGAGCAACAGATACCATACCAGTTTGATCTAAATTATAAAACGTTGATGTTCTAGGCAGCACATCAGGTTATTTTTACTGCACCCTGTTTCTATTGAACATATAAACAAATAATAATAATAACTCTTTGTATATTTGAGCCTGAATTCTACAAAACAGGAGAATAATTGATGAAACTGTGGATTGAGTAGATGGATGAGTCAAAAATACTATCTAATACAGATTACTGTTCAGCTCTAACTAAAGCCAATATATGTACAGTATATATATATATTTTTTTTTTATTATTTTTTTATCTAAATGAGATAGAGGAAAAAAAACTTTTTGGCTGGACAGTGACACGGCTGTGGTCAGGTTTAGGGTCAATCAGGGTCAGAAGAAATATATTATTTCTAAGAACAGTGTTTGTTGTGCTTACCGGCTATAACAGGCTGTTTCTGCAGTTCATGTTCGGGCCTTTGGACCTCATCTGCTCTTGAACAGACCCTGACTGTTCAAAGGAAAAACAAAGGATTAAGTCATGGAATACAAGCCACAACAAAGCACAGTAAAAAAATCTTTACAGGAACGAAGACTTACAGATTTAAAACAACATTGGGTCATTATGTTTACTAGAGGAAACAGTTCCATAAGCAGCTTAGGAAAACATTGATTTATTGATACTTAGAATGTAAAATTCTAGGCATAAAGAGACTTAAGTAAAATAGTCTTTGTTTTATAATCAGTTATTGAATGTCCATTTTTGGACCAGGGTTTCCATGGGTCATTAAAAATCATTAAAACTCATTAAATTGTAATTTCTTTTTATTAAGGCCTTAATTTACATTAAAATTAATTAAATGGGATTATTATCATGGCATTTAAAATGCTTTATAAAAAAAAAAAAAAAAGTTTCTAAAAACAATTTCATCAGATGTATTATATTGTGATATATTTGCGCGGAACTGCTTCCGGTTGATCGTGAAGCCGTATGTTCGGTAAAGAAGCCAGAGGTGGAGAAAAGGCTAATATATATATATATATATATATATATATATATATATATATATATATATATATATATGAGAGTCATGTTTACTTGATGATGGCATTAAAATAATCTCTAAGAGAATTAAAAGAGCAAATAAAAAGCATTAAATTAGAGATACTTATTCCTGTATAAACCCCGTGGACAATCATCAGTATTTTTGACTGAGAGGGGTACTCATGGTAAGACAAAATGAGAAAAGGGGTTCACGAGTCAAAAAAGGTTGGGAAACACCGATATAGGGCATGAATTTCTCAAAATGAACTTTCTTCCCACGTGCAACAATGATCTTGTTTGCCTTGCAATGTTCATGGGCCTCAAAAGAAAAGAGGGAAAGGAAGAGGTGAGTAGAAACGTATCCACACATATTTACCCTGTGATCTCACACAGAAGGAAGACTCCCTGCTGACTCAGGCCAGACAGGGGAAGTGATATCATGTGTTTACGTCACACAACTCTTAGTGCATTATACTGTCATATATTACTTTGATGAACTGATCATTATATAATCAGAAATTTGGTGTTATTCAAAGATACACATCTATCCCTGTGAGACAATCAATCCACTGTATATTGTTATAAGCCAAAACTTTAATTCTCTTCAGCCTGAAATACATTTAGAAAAGGTTCATCTTCTGAAACCACATTGATTCTGAATATTTTATCACCTAAATAAGCTACAGCTGGAAAACCTCAGTCGCTTCTTGATTTATGGTTGCATCGCTTCATACGCAATGGGTTATTAAAAAAAGGAAGACCGAGGCACAATCTTCGGGCTGCTCTAGAAAGACCTCAGTGGCTCCCAGAGTGCTTTCCACATGGCAGTTGTAAGACAGTAAAGCGAAAATAGAAGCAGGAAGGATGCAGTGCCACAAGACACTTCCTGACACACACACAGAGCCTCTCTGTCCTCATGTTGGACTGAAGCCTGGTCATCTCTGTCTGCTAAGAAGCTGCAGATCTTCACTTTTTACTTTCTGTCCTGGTAGACGGTCACTAAACAGAACAAATTAAAGTAATGCCTTAGAATTAAAGATTAAAGTTTAGTGCTGTCTCACCGGCTGCAAACCATCTCCCATCTCTGAAGAGCCGATATGCGTGAGGTGGATAAAGTTTGTTGGCTCTCCGATCATGCTGCGGTCGATCTTCCTCCTCTTTTTCTTCTAGGCAGAAACAGACAGATTATTCACTTGCTCTTCTCTCCTTATCAGTGGACCCAGATGACGAAGGTCGCTGGTGAAATTAAACATGATTTTATAGCAATAGATGGTCACCTGTTGCTTTAGCCATCTTTATTCCCCTCATATATCACTTGTCAAATGAATTGCAAAAAAAAGATGCGTCTTAATGTGACTATGCTGGTGAAGAAACAGTTAAGGTCTTTCTTAAGCATCTCTTTTGTTCCTCTGATGGTCTGTCTCTGATGTGTCTCCACACGTTCACATTCTCCCAGTCTCAAATCACCCCAGTGAATCATGTAGGAACAAAAAAAATGACGCAACAGAGGGAGAAACAGGGGAAAATCACCAGAGGAACCTGCAAGTTTAGCCTCTATGATAGAAAACACGCATCAAATAATTAATTACAACGGATGTCATATTAGGAAACTACTGACACCTGAAATCAGGGTTTAATTAAAGGTTTCTTCAGGGGTCAGCTTCTTCGGTGCATTCAGGGACAGTCAGAGCCCTGGGAATCAGCCAATGAAACCCCTCATTAAAACCTAGTTTGGCTCCCATAGTCCAGTAAACCCCGCTGTGTGGAAACACATCCAAACCACAATAAAAACCATTTAGATGTGATTTAAGAGGCTTATGCTCTGGATTATTCAAAGCCTTTATGTAACAGAGCAGATCTAAAAGCGATGGGTGAACACGACTAAGATGACAGACCTTAAAGATCAGAGGGAACCTAGAGTGTAGGAATGAGAGGAGCTGCAGCTTTCAAACTAATAAGAAGAAAACAGTTTTTTAATACGGCTATTGCACTGATTTGAAACCGCTGTGTTATTACTATGGAAGAAATTCAAGTGAAAAAAAAGTTAAAAAAAATTAGAGGTTTTAAAAAAATTAATAAAGAGATGAAAAAAAAATGCAAAAAAGATAGAGCCATATCTTGTTCTTACTGCTGAGGAACAGACAGAAGAAAATAGACCAAGAATACATAAAACCAATTTATTTATTTTTTTTTATAAATATGTTTGTTTTTTTTAGTTAGGCTAACAGGTCCAGGCCCATTCTGCTTTAGATTGTTTTCTGCAAACAAATCTGACTATTTTAATTTGAATATGATATTTTGTATTTATTATACAGCTAAGACTAAATAATTGAACCGTAAAATTATCATAGGGTTCAGGGATTCCACCCATATAGCAAAACATTAAGACACCACTGAGATACAAAAAAAGCCAAAAAAAAACAAATTGAAAACACGATTGTTTTGTGTCCTAACTAAGTTTACATCAGGTACCATAAAAATCACATGTGGTGTTCCACAAGGGTCAATGTTAGGGACCCATTCAATTTCTATTTGCCTCCTCTAACTTATATAAAAAATACAACATAAGCTACCATAACTATGCAGACGACACTCATCTGTACATTAAGAAGTCGCCACGTGACTATAAACCCTTTAAAGCTCTAGGTAAATTCATAGAAGAAATCAATACATGGATGTGGCAAGATTTTGTTCTGTTGAGTGAAAACATGACTGATGGAATAGATTTTGGACCAAAGGACGAGTCATTTTTAGAAGAGTTGATTACTGAAATGGTGTCTTCAAAGCTCTAGGACAGTAAAAAGGCCTTTCTTTGCAGTCGGTAATTAAACGGAATTTGCAGATGTGTTTAAAAACCAAGAGCTCCATGTGTGAGAAAATTTCGATTAATTAGCTATACAATTTGTTGTTCTCTAGTGAAGCATTCACACCAGAGCAATAAAACTGGTGTTGCTAATGACAAGAGCAAACAATGGGACTGAAAGTGCATCTCACCATGCATTCAATGACTGAATAAAGGGCCTACTGAGGCAGGTTGATACAAACAGGGGTGAAGTCGTTATAAACTAAAACTGATGGTTGGGTGGAAATGTGTTCCATTATTGTGTACATTGTGTTTTAAAACCCATCATTTTGGAGTAGTTCTCAAAGACATGTTTGGGATTTTGATCCGGATTTGTGACAAATGCAATATAGATTTCTTATAAGAAATCAGACAGCTGCAGCTGATACAAAATGCTGCTGCCTGCATCCTCACTGGAACTAAAAGCGTGGAGAACATCACACCAGGTCCAAAAAATCAACTAACTGCATCTCTGAATATATAAGTATCTGTTAAATGTGCTTAAAAAATAATGTTGACGTATACCATCATACAGAGATCAAAATAACCATAAACATACAAAAAGTGACAGTTAATTAAAAGTAGGGCTGCAACAACGAATCGATAAAATCGATAAAAATCGACTTTTAAAAGCGTTGGCAACGAATTTAATCATCGATTAGTTGTGTCGCGCGATTAATGCGTCATCCGCCGCCGCCGTCATCCCGGGGAAGAAAAAAAAATATGGCGGAGCGAGTCAGCGCCGCAGTTGCAGTGTTGCCAACTCAGCGACTTTTCAGACCCCTCCAGCGACTATTTTTTTAAAAAGCAACTAGCGACAAATCTGGCGACTTTTTACGGTGTCACTGGCGGCTTTTGGAGACTCTTACGTGAAAGCATGTATCGTTCCTACTCTTGTCCTCCAGCGGCAGCTGCTGCCGTGGGGCGCCTCCCCCATCCCAACGCCTTTCTCCCTCTCCCACAGAATCCCTCTCAGCGTGCAGTCCGAGCCGCAGGATTTTAGTGAGGAGTTTACCCTCAGCGTCCAGACTGCAAATGAAGCGCGCATGCCCCGGGATTGACGGCGCAAATTGATCACAATAATTAAAAAAGCCTGCGCTTTGTAAAGTGAAAAAAGTCGTAACATGCAACTTTTGTAAAAAACAAATGAGCATGGCACGGAAGCACCACTGTTATGACGCAGCACCTGAAAAGAAAACACGTTGGAGCCTTCAATGGCAGTGAAGATAGCTCATCAGCAGGATGAGTAACCATGTTTGTTTCATTTTAAAGTGGGGAAACGTAAGTTACAGGTAGCTCATCTGATGCTTTCCTTAGCTTGTTAGTAGGTTACAGACAGTGATAAGGTTGGCTTCTTATTTTACTTTTAATTTCATTTGAATTAGCTTAAGCAGCGTTTATATTTTCTTTATAAATAAATAAATTTGCAAATTATGAGGGCAAGGCTTTTAAAGTTTAAATCTTCTGGCAAAGATAAAGTAAAGAAGATCCTGCAATTTATGGAAGTAAAGCAGAATAAAATCCAGCAAGATCAGTAATATGTCCATTAATTATCTGCCACATTCCCATGTAAATATCTGTCTTTGGAGGATGTGTTTTTTAGCACCCCTAGTTCTCTCATTTTTATTCCAAATACAATTTATAATTTGAATCACAGGGCTATTTTTATCTCTATGGTTTAGTATTTTCTCAAGTAGCAACTTTAACTGCTATACTTTCCTGTCTTAAAAGGCAGAACTCTTCTAGTCTAAAAAAAACTCATTTGTTGAAGTGGGGGGGGCCTATTGTTTGAACCCCTTAGGGGCTTTTAAAAACAAAAATGTCTTTTTTTGCGCTTTATGAAACAAAGTATCCTATATTTTGTGGATGTACAGCTACATTTCTCATGTAAGTTTGCATAGTTTTAACACAAACATTTATTTTTCATATTGCACCAGTACAGTTAATGAGAAACCTGTACGTGTGTGCTTGTTTGTTCTGTCTAAAATGTTTATTTTGGAATAAAGAGGTTAATATAAAAAAAATATTTTGTGTCCGATTCATCGATTAATCGAAAAAATAATCGGCCGATTCATCGATTTTTAAAATAATCGTTAGTTGCAGCCCTAATTAAAAGAAACATTGAAAGTAGACAAGAGTAGATTAAATCTTAATAGGTATGTATATCTGTTGTTTTTATAAATCTTTTTTTTCTAATTCCTGTATAAAGTCAGTTTGTGTTTTTATGCATAAAAAGGTAATCTTGCTAATCGGCTCATTTATTTGTTTTTTGTTCTGTCTAGTACCTTTCTTTGTATGTTTGCCCATACTGCATGCTAAGGCTGGAGGATATGGCCAAAAACTTATATCGCAATACATTTCTTTATTTCAGTTGATGTGATATAATTTCTGTATCAACATATAAAAAAAAACTCAGAAAGACTGCCAATAATGCCCACACAAGTGCCTGTACAAACTACAGTTATTTTGCCATGTTTGTAAAACTCCTACAACTTAACATTTTAGAAATATTTGCTTTAAAAAAACAAAAAGACAAAACTACATAAATATTAGTGACAAATGCTGTTATCATGGACTGTAATGTGTATCCAAAATACTCACAAAAAAATAAATACTGTATTTAAAAAGTATTTAAAAGTCATATCATTTATATTGAATTAAATTATATAGTGATATATATAAATATGTGCTATTAGAATATCGTCTACTGCATGCACATTTTTGTTTTGTTGAAACAAAAACCACCTGCATTGGTGTTTCGATTTGCTGCTGGTGCAAGTAACTTCTTCCACTGAGGAACTATAAAGGTTATTTATATTGTATTCTTTATAGGTCCTGTTTTGAGATGCAGTGGTGTTTTTATTTTATTTTTTTTATTGCCTTATCCTGCAGGTTCAGTGGAAATGAACAAATGAGGTGGGTGATGCTTGAATGCAGCACACAAGTCATACTATTCCAGTGTTATTCCATTTACTTTAGTAACCTTTATGCATTCGCCTTGTTTTCGGATCAAGGTAGGTGAATAATGTGTCCAGAAGCAAACTTAAACAAGGTGATACCTGGGATGAAATTCTTGGCCCAGGTTTGGTTGAAATCTCTATAAATTTGAAGCAAACTATGAAAAATATATCACAAACCTTCCACATTATATGTGGAAGTAAATGTAGCTGCCATCTAAGAAAGTCCAGCCTGATGGGGGTTTAGATCCCTATCATAACAGTTGTTTTAATATCATTACCTAATATATCCACTATAGAAAAAACATTTTAAGATGAAGCTCGAGTGAGACCACACACTGCATGGGCATGCCGGCATCCAATGTTCAACCAGCTGGGAGTGACTCATTGCTCGACCTACACACATCCTCCTCCACAACTACAGCTGCCGTCATGGCAACCGTAATTTATAAAAAGCAACTGGGCAGCACTGATGGACAAACTGGAAGGAGTTTGAATTTTAATTTCAGCTGAGCATGTCAGCAGTATACTGTGTGTGTGGGTGGGCGGGGGGGGGGGATTCTTAAACAGCAGCAGATTAGTTTTGATAAAACAGGATTCCAACTATTGAGTCAGAGGCAACCGTTACATAAACTCTGCTTACTTTTTCCTTGATTTTTTGTAGCTTTCTGTTTTAGATTTACTTGTGGTCATTTTTTTGAAACACGGCTAAAACTGCCAGATCTTAATGACAGCAGAACGCTTTAAGATACAAGAAGCTGAGGTCTAATCTAATCCTCAAGCAGTTTATGTTACGCAACCCTGAGTCTGCTGTAATTACTGAATAAAATGGGGAGGGGGGGAGGGGGGGGTGCTCCTGGCAACCTTTGTGTTGGGCCGATAAACAACTCTGTCTTTTTCATCCCAACTATCATCATCATGTAACATGATTCACCAACTTCAAACAAGAACAAGCTGGAATTTCAAAATAAAAGTAGACATATGCAACTGATCCATCAGCTGCTCCCAGACCTCCATCAGAAGAACCCTTCACGGTAAGCAGAGGATGAAAAAAACGGCTTACTACACGTCACTGTGCGGATGAATGTATATTCCGTAATATGAGAGCATCCAATGTTGCTAAGACACATATTAAGCTGTTAAAAGGTGAAATTAAATAAGAATAGAAGCAAATAATTTAGAAAGGGTTGCAAAAACAAAATAAAATTCATCCGTTATTAAAATAAATGTGTAGAAAACAGAAAAAAAATCATTATAGACACTAAAAATAGGGATATAAAAAGAAGAGGTAGAAATACACAAGCTGAAACACAAAGGTAACACAGAGACTAAAAAGAGGAAAAACTTTAAACGTGTTAAGAAAAGATATGCACCTCAGCAATTTTATTTAAAAGTAGTTAAAAATAGTCCAGATACACACAAAAAAAATACTGAGTAACATCTGTTTTGTCTGATGACTGATAATGTATAAAATACTTTGCTGCAGGTTTACAGTAAAGAGCCTCAAAGAGAAAGAGTGAAGTCACTGCCGTAGATCCAAGTGTGTTTGTTAAAGGTGTATTGTTGCGGTGGTACAATGGAACAAACAGAAAACTATAAATATATGCGGAGGAAGGAGGGAGGAGGTCTCTGGAGAGAAACACCACAGAGCAGAACTTCCTCCCTGAAGTGTACACCGTGTCTGCTGGCTGCCCTAAACCTGCACAGGAGGGTACATGTGGCGTCGGTTCAGGGACTCGCACTGACTCAGTTAATCACAAACCTAATTGGCCTGTTAAATATTACAGTTTAGGTGGAATATTTACATACCCCAAGGGGCATAGTAAAATAATAGTAAAAAGTAAAGGAATAAAACTTAAATTGATTGAAATTCATGGACATATTTCAGTTTACTGCACAGTGGTAGATTTAGCAGCAAAGGTTACATAAGGCAAGTCCATATAGATGACTGTTAGCTAGATTGGTTCTTTTAATCTGCCCTTATAGGTATAAGTTTGTTTCATTTTGTTGTCCACTAGATAAGCAGCAGGGTCGCCCTAGGGAATGGTTGCATCAGAAAACATGATTGTAGAAAATAAATAGATGGATTTCTATGTGTCACTGTTGGACAATGAACTAAAATATCAAGCCCAGATGATAGAAAAGTAACTCAGGAAAAACCCAGAAGAAACCAGTAACCACCAGAGCTCAAGTCTTCCACAAGGCTGGAAACACTGGTATCTGTTTCTGCAAGGAAGCCAGTTTCCATCAGCAGAGATTTAAAAGTTGCTGACCAAGTCATATGCCTTTTATAACATTTTTTTTTTTTACATCAATTATAAAAGTTATCTTTGAGGGAATCACTATAAGACTTCAAACCCGGAAAACACTCTTCACCATCCTAGAGAAAAATACTTAATTTAATCGTAAATCAAGAGCCAGATTGCTGTAACTTGAATACGGTTTGGTGTTTCCACAAAACCATGAAACCAAAAAAAACATTAAAATGGATCTTAGTATGGGAAGGAGGCTGAAATCATGTTTCCTCCAAAAGACTTGACCTCAAACTATTGAAAACTTGTGAGAAAAAAAATGCATGAAACCTCAAAAAGAAATCTACAAATTACAAAAGAAGAGTGTTGAAATATCACACCAATTGTGTGCCAAAATGTTGCTGAGGGATAAAAAATGATCAGGCCATAATAAAGCCTGCTGAGGGACATTTAACTGGAGCTTCATCTACTCTATATTGTTATCTCTGTCCACATGATTCACGTTGTGCATAGATCTGGGAAAATCTGCAATAAATTACATTTTTTTGCACAAAATAGGTCCATAAAATATTAAATAACTGGTTATATGACTATAATAAAATAATTCCACCTTGGAGGAAGCGCATTTAAACAAAAGCCCAAGTTAAACATGACATTAATGCCTACAAAAAACATGTATGTACACTTCTAACCATAGCTGTACATCCACACTTTTCCAAAGTTTTATCTTTAGGTTATCTGTGTGTTTTTTTGTGTGTGTTTTTTTTCCACCAGAAAAGGCTAGATTTGGAATTTTCTACAAAGATTTGCATTAGTTATGAAACTGGATTTTCCCAGAGCATCTTCATACTGAACAGTGTAGTCACGTATGGAATAGAGTGAATAATGGTGCAGGTGTCTCACCGGAGGGGGTTTGGCTACCACACAGCAGCCCATCTTATGCCAGAAGTCACTCATCCCGACGGTCTGCCTGTCCAGCGGCCGGCCGTTCGTCTCTGCTGCCGCCCTGCAGGCCCGAGAAGGAACTGCAGCCTGTGGGTAATCCTGGGGCATCCAGACAAAAAGCCACACAAATGTAGACAGTCAAAGGGTCAAACCCAAAGTAAACCCCTCAGACTGGGGATAAAAAAAAAAAAAAAAAAAAAAGGAAAAAATAAAAATCTGGATATCCACAAACTTCTTCTGCTGGATGATCCTCACGATTAACAAAAAAGTTCAAACTTTAAAATCCAAACTGACAAGTGAAGATGTGCAGCTTATATCTGTGGAAACAGGAAAAAGGACAGGTTACCAAAAAAGGTTTCTAAAACATAGATCCTTTCTTTAAAAACTTTTCATTTTTCATCCTAAAACATAAACATGCAATCATATCATTCCAGTCCACACTGTGTTTATCTTCACATAAAGGAAGTGCATAGATGCCCTATTCGCTGGTTGCATAAGGTCATCTTTGGCAATCAGGCGGACCGTTTTTCCTTTCATTTATTATATTATTAGCCCTTCAATGCCTCTGCAGCCAGCAATCATTTTTAATGTCTCTGTGGTTGTCCGACTCAAAAGGCTTAAACTGTCTCAAGTCTCTGAATTTCCACAATTAATCTGCAGTCTTGAAATTCCTTCTTATATAATCTGTTTTATCTGTTTATGAGGCAATACACCAACAGCTTTAGTTTTCTTAGCCAACAAGACCCGTAGCTAACCTTCACTGAGTTTCTTTAAAAAACACATCAAATCAAAGACATAACAGTAAGCAGAGCAACGGTTACAGACATATCTACCAACATCAGCCACTATAAGCTACCAAATAAGGCTAGGCCAGTGAAACTCTGTAAGCTGCCTGAAAGAAAATGTAATGAGATATCTCATTACATTTTTTAGATGCTTAAATGGTTCTTATGGTCTAAAAATCACCACATTTCCAAAAGAGTTCCTCAAACATGACCAAATTCCTGACAAAAAAGGAGAAAAAAGGTTGACGAAGTCTATCATTGAGCTGCATGGGAACCAAACCCTTTGAGACGTCAACAGGGCAGGCACATTAAGCATGACTAAACATTAGGTGTGGTCCAAACATAGAGGAGCAGGAAGTAACAGAAGCACACAGACTGAGAGCTCCTTACCGACACTTGGCTCTTGTTTTTAGATTAAACTGGACCAGATTTAAATAAAAAGCTATAATCAATAAACAAACTAATTATTATTATGTTCTTTTTGCCTTTATTATAATAAATATCTTTATGACACTTCAGTAATGTAAGGATATAATAGCTAACCTTTAAAAACTCTCTGACTATTACAGAAAAAATGCTAAAATAAATCTGGAACAGTGAGTCTTTTATTCCAATTACATGTTTTTTTTGCAAAGTGAACGTAATGGTTCATTTTTTTAAATGAACCATTATACAAATTATACAAATTGTTATTTAGAAAGTTACTGGATTTGTTATTTGGTCCAAACAAACAACTGAAAGAGAAGTCTACTTGCAACCATAACTCTACTGATGTTGATCTGTCTGGTTCTTCCTATGGTTTATTTCCATAGTTTCTTTGGCATTGACTTTTATATCAAAAAGGCTCAAACGTGATAACTTTAGGTTTCCCTCATCTTTCTGTGATTCTTGGTGCCGTACTTTGATTTCATTCTGCAGAGGTTTCCCGACCTCCTGAAGTTTCTGGGCTTGTTTTTCATAGTAGGTTGTTGATTTGCTTTTCTATCTGATGGTTTAATTAGGAGGTTCTTCTGACAGAAAACTTTTCACGATCTAACTGCAAACACAGCATGTGAAAAAAAACCCCTCAGTTTGTCTGTTTTATTTATTTGGGTGATTTGTTTTATTGCAATAAAGCTCTGACATGTGGGAGGCTGATGTTTTTCAGGTCTTCATTCAAATTTTTGTAGGGAAGGTAAAATAATAGAGAGCAGAAGCATCTAAGTTCCTGTATATAAGGTATAATACTGAGCTTCCTCTAGAAGCAACATTAGCATATAAACAAAGCGACGGCCTCAGTCACTTGTTTTCCAATAAAACACCCAGACCTTTTAATGCTGAATGTCTTAAAGACGGACAACAGCCAACCATCCGTTCTAGGACTTTCTATCTGTCTGCAATAACTTTTAGGCATTATTTCCTTTGGAGCTGAAACAATTAATCGGATTAATCGATTATTGAAATAATCATCAACCAATTTAGTAATCGATTAGTCGTTAACTGGAGTACAGAGACTCTAATGCATGCCTTTACCTGAGAAACCAACCCACTTGGAGCAGCAATTATATCAAAATTGTATTAAAAAAAATGTATATATGTATATGTATATATATATATATATATATATATATATATATATATATATATATATATATATATATATATGCAAACATTTTGCATTTAAGATTTAAAAAATGTTTTTATCTGCCAATATGATCAAGTGGTTTCACTGAAATTTAACCAGTTTCACTGGTTAAATTTCATAAAACATCTTCTTTAAGGAACTGGCTTGACAAAGTTCAGTTTAGGCAACTGGATGCGATTCTAGAAAACTTCCCATCCAGTTGTGTAGACTGAACTTTTTCAAGCTTGGCCATGGATGACTGATAATCATCATGGATATTCTTTAAGGAACTTTTTGCTAGCCAATTATTAATCAAAAAAATTATCGGCAGATTTAACAACTTGCAAAATAATCGTTAGTTGCAGCCCTAACATCCTTAGCTTCAGCATCATCATCTACAAAAAAAGATTTGCATCAAACTGTAGAAGTCTTCAGACTATGAATGTATTTTTACAAAAGGGTGGTTTTATTAAATAATCTATTAAAATCTAAGTCATTTTTTCCTAAATTGAGCAGGTAAGCGAAACACTTTGCCAAGAGGAAATGTTAATTTCAAGTGCATAATATCTAATTATCTGATAAGCATACTTATTCCATTGGCATCTTACTGTATTTACCTACTCAAATTAAGGTATAAATACACTTATTTTACTTATTTTCAGACCATTTTTGCAGTGGCTGGTTTCTTCACAAGAAAATTAATCCCTCGGTACAAAATGTTAACAATAAAATAGATGATACTGTAATTTATAGAAAGATAAACACCTATAAAACTTAAGATCACCTATAACTAGGCACTTAATGTACAACCGCAGGCATCCAAAGCAAATATTATTCACAATCCAAAGCTGGAAACTGGTGCAAAGCCAGCTCTGTGCCTAAAGAGGTAAATTTTTCGAACCTGTAGGGCAGAGCTGGTTTATGGAGATGTGTTGAATGTTTAATAATGGCTCAGATTTGTAAGGCGTGTTGTTATCAGTAGATTTGGATCTTAATTATCTCAATTTGATGTCATGGCTGTTTATTGTTGGCAAATGGTGTCAAATTAAGTTAGATCTTATAAGATTTCCACCAATCTTTGGCCTTGAAAGTAATATTTGAGGAACTTGAAATGTGTTGTAGATCACCTCGTATGGATGGCAGCAGGCATTCGGGTTATTCTGACTACATGCATGCTTTAACTGTGTTTCTATTCTCAGTCTGTTCTAGCCCTGTTAGGAAAAATATCTGGAGTCCCTCCAACACATTTCAGCAGATGATAAGGAAGGAATGTGGAGGCCAGAAACATGTAGCTTCATGCTTGACATCCACAAAGATCAGCAGAGAGGAATTCAGCCTGAGGGGTCTGCTTCACCAAGGAGAGGACTTCCTGTTTGGCAATCAAACAATTTCCAGTTTATGAAACTGTGAACTGAAAAATTGAAAGGTCTCGACAAAATGGGTGTTTTTTCCCTCCTCTAGTGCATCGTCTCTCTCTTTACTTGGTTCCCTTCAGCAGTTACTTTCAGCTTGGTCCACGGATCCCATCTTGTCTTAACGAGAACAAATTCCTTTTGCCTGATATTATTCTTAAATAGATTCCACCGACATTCATTTCAACATATCAGGGATGTTTCAGAAAACTCTAAGATGAAGATAAGAAGAGAAAATGTCTTTTGCAGGTTTTACCTGTTTAGGTTATAGTCATAATCCACTGCTCTCTCAGGGTGTGGTGAGAAATGCTTTGCTGGATTACAATGAGAACTTGATGCTCAGAGAGCATGAAAGACCAGGACATATACAAATAAAAAGCTGCATTTTGTTTGATAAAATCTAATCGAATTCACAAAAACTAAAACAGCCCTTGTTTCATGTATACAGTTTTCTGGAGCACAATTCTGCTGCTTGTAAGATATTTTGAGCTTGGAGAAAAAAGAAGTTGAAATTGGGTGTCAGTATTCACACTGATGTGAACATTCAGGAATTTAGATTTAAGGCCTTGTGTTTTAATTGCCTGTAGTGGACAGATAGAGTTATGGACTGAGAAACAGACAAATGGACAGCTGAATGTAGAAATGTTTGGCAAAGCAACGGTACTAACTCAGTCTAAACTTCCTGACCTACAGACTGTGTGTCCGCTAGAATAAATCCTGCCCCATTACGTCATTGAGAGTAGTTAAAACACCCTCCCCTAACTCCTATTGTATTGTTTGCAGGTGGCAGGATCCACATTCTCTGCAGAAGTCATGAATTCTTCCAGCTTTTTTATTTGTTGGCTTCCAAATCATCAGAACTTTGCAGCCAGTCAACATTTTCTCCACCTTTCTGGAGGTCTAAATATTTTATTTGGTCCTTTATTACCCCCTTAGAGAATATCATCTTCTTTTTTTTATGTATATGCACTGAGTAATGAGTTTGAACTCCCTTTGCATGTATTACTGCATAGGCTTGGCATGACTGTGCTCAGTCTGTGGCTCTTCTGAGGCGTAATATAAGCTGCTTTAATAGTGTAGATGGTTTTGGTCTCTCTCATCTTTGCCGGAGAACCACTTAAGCCACTTTGATTGTCCACTCCTCCCCCAGAGTCTGGGACCTGGATTTCCTATCATAGTTTCTTCTTGGAAGATAACTTTGGATCCCAGAACAAAACTCCAGTCCTTCCCCTTGGCCCAACTGAGACACTTCTGGCATTGTCTCTGGATAAGCAGCAGCTGTAACCCTTGTCTGCATCCAATCCACACTACGAATATCCACCAAATTCTGGACAGGAAGTTGCTCCACAGTCATCTCTAAAACTGCAATTATCACTTAATCTTTCTCACAGTTTTTTTTTCCCTCCAGCAAACTTTATATTGATACTTGAGAACAGGTCATGTGTGTAAAACCAGCTACTTTAGCAGTAAACTTGTTGTCTTCTTGATTATGCGCTGATATTCATAAGAAAAGCAGA